TCACCAATTAAATTGCAAGAAATCACCTCAGCCTCCCTGCCTCTGCATTTGGGTACTCAAACCTCAACCATACCCTGACAGCCGATGGCATCACATGTGGTTCTTGGTGCCTGTGGGCACTGCATTGGTAACCCCTGCTCCAACAGATCCTGGCTCAGTGTTGACATACCGTAGCATAGCAAACGAAGAATCAAACATGGTGATAAGTATATCAACATCACTGGAGGAAAAATCACGAGGTACTGTACAGAAAAATTAGGAAAAAACAAAAAATACTGAGCAGAGATAAAGGGTTGAAAATTAGATAATGTTAGTCAGAAGCAAAAGGTTTCACTAAAAAAAATGCTTGTAAAGAATGTTACATAAAACAGCCATTTGATCCAAAAACCCAAACTCACAAATTTCCGCAATAGAAATGGGATGACAGTTTGACACACAAACTTGTCTCACTATCTTTGTGGGGCATTTCCATTGCCTTCAATTAATTTCAAAAGCCTAACCCCTTGCTCACACTGGCTCCGGTGCGGTTACCGAGCCGACGGAGACCGCAACTCCCGCACACCCCCTTTCACACCGCCCTTTTGACTACGGTGCGGTGCGGCTCTGCGGCTCCGGCAACAGGTCCGGAGATTTAAGTCGCGAGAACAGAAGTTCACTTGAGTTCACGTAACTTCACGCGATAACACGGCCCAAATAAGGATATTTCCAAGAGCTTGTTGCGGAGGGCTCCGGCACGCCGCAAGGATAGCTTTCTTGCTGAATTTTTTGCAGCGCCGGAGTGTCTTGGTAACCGCAGCCGGACAGCTCAGCAGCCGGTGAGAGAGGTTTACGTCTTTTTAATGACTTGGAATCACTGCGGCGCCGCACCCACCGCACCGCAACGGTAAGACCGGAGTCGGTGTGAGTCGGGGGTAACCATGACCCTAACCACTACCAGTCCATACCTGACCCTAACTCCAACCGAAACTCAATTCATACCTTAGTCCTAAACACAACCCCTGTCCCAAAAACATCAATTCCGCTTATGGAGTCCAGGCATCAAGCCCCACAAGGAGCAGTTGGTCAATTTATTAAAAACAAGAACACATGCACACACATATGTGTGCACATGTAATCTTGTTCATATATATATATATATATATATATATATATATATATATATATATATATATATATATATATATATATATATATATATGTATATATATACACTCACCGGCCACTTTATTAGGTACACCTGTCCAACTGCTAGTTAACACTTAATTTCTAAGCAGCCCATCACATGGCGGCAACTCAGTGCATTTAGGCATGTAGACATGGTCAAGACAATCTCCTGCAGTTCAAACCGAGCATCAGTATGGGGAAGAAAGGTGATTTGAGTGACTTTGAACGTGGCATGATTGTTGGTGCCAGAAGGGCTGAGTATTTCAGAAACTGCTGATCTACTGGGATTTTCACACACAACCATCTCTAGGGTTTACAGAGAATGGTCCGAAAAAGAAAAAACATCCAGTGAGCGGCAGTTCAGTGGGCGGAAATACCTTGTTGATGTCAGAGGTCAGAGGAGAATGGCCAGACTGGTTCGAGCTGATAGAAGGGCAACAGTGACTCAAATAACCACCCGTTACAACCAAGGTGGGCAGAGGAGCATCTCTGAACGCACAGTACGTCGAACTTTTAGGCAGATGGGCTACAGCAGCAGAAGACCACACCGGGTGCCACTCCTTTCAGCTAAGAACAGGAAACTGAGGCTACAATTTGCACAAGCTCATCGAAATTGGACAATAGAAGATTGGAAAAACGTTGCCTGGTCTGATGAGTCTCGATTTCTGCTGCGATATTCAGATGGTAGGGTCAGAATTTGGTGTCTACAACATCAAAGCAAGGATCCATCCTGCCTTGTATCAACGGTTCAGGCTGGTGGTGGTGGTGTCATGGTGTGGGGAATATTTTCTCGGCACTCTTTGGACCCCTTGGTACCAATTGAGCATCGTTGCAATGCCACAGCCTACCTGAGTATTGTTGCTAACCATGTCCATCCCTTTATGACCACAATGTACCCAACTTCTGATGGCTACTTTCAGCAGGATAATGCGCCATGTCATAAAGCTGGAATCATCTCAGACTGGTTTCTTGAACATGACAATGAGTTCACTGTACTCAAATGGCCTCCACAGTCACCAGATCTCAATCCAATAGAGCATCTTTGTGATGTGGTGGAACGGGAGATTCGCATCATGGATGTGCAGCCGACAAATCTGCGGCAACTGTGTGATGCCATCATGTCAATATGGACCAAACTCCCTGAGGAATGCTTCCACCACCTTGTTGAATCTATGCCACGAAGAATTGAGGCAGTTCTGAAGGCAAAAGGGGGTCCAACCCGTTACTATATATATATATATTAGTGCTGTCAATCGATTAAATTTTTTTAATCGCGATTAATCGCATCAATGCCTAAGTTAACTCGCGATTAATCGCATTTTAATCGCACATTTTTTTCCTGATTGAAAATCATTTAAATACTCTCGATGACATACAAAAAAATACATACAGGCTAGGTTTGTGCCAATGTTCTTTTTTTAAAATGAGAACAGGTCACAGATACTGATTTATGCCATAGAAACATATGGCAAGAAGATGGGGAGGCATGTAGCAAAAAATAACAAATATGTAGGCAAAAAAAGGCCCTGAAAACAGGCTGATGTAAAAGACAGTCTTTACAGTTAATACAGTCTTTTGAACAAAGACAAGCATTTTACCCTACTGCTATAAAATGCAGTACAGTTAACATTAGATGTTAATTAACCAAGATAATAATGAACAATTTTCAATCAATACATCAAAATCAATAGACCGACATCACTAGATGGAGGTAGTCTATGCTCTAGAAAGTTACTTTTCAGCCTCTTAACAAAAATGAGAACACACACACAAGCACCCACCCACACACACACACACACACACACAATACTGACCTGTGGCGTACACAGACGGCAAGAGTGCCGTAGCAGATTCCATTTCACCTCAGTAATCTGTTTTCTCAGCGTATTTCAGGTTGCTACTAGTTACCAGACACTCAACTTGTTTGTTGGTGGTGGGGCTTAAAGAAAAGGCACTAGCGTCACCCAGTGTATGAGCGTCTTTTTCCCTTGAGGAGCTCCGCTCTCGAAGTCTATGAGAAATGCATACACTGGGGGAAAATAGCCCCGCCTTCTCGCAGGCTGCAGCGGGATGTACTTGGAAAATTGTACCATAAAACCACATAGCGTTAATCTCACGTTAAAAAAATTATCGCCGTTAAAATGGCCTCGCGTTAACGCGTTAATAACGCGATAATTTTGACAGCACTAATATATATATATATATATATATATATATATATATATATATACATATATATAAGTACATATGTCTGTCTGTCTCTCTCTTTCTATAGATAGATAGATAGAAAGCATTTATGTGTATATAGATACTGTCCCCTATACAGAAAACAGCCACAAAGCATGATGCTTTCACCACCATGCTTTGCAGTAGGTATGGTGCAACTCAGCATTCTTCTGAATCTGAACACATGGTATTCTCCCAATCCTCTTTCAGGTCATCCAATAGATCTCTGGCAAAATGCAGACATTCCTGGACATGTACTCTCTTAAGCAGGGGGATATATCTGGCACTGATGCCTTCTGGGCATAGTGCGTTACTGATGGTAACTTTTGTTCTTTGGACCTAGGTCTCTGTGAGTCATTCATCAGGACCCTTTGTGTAGCTCTTGTCTAGATCTTACTTGGGGCCCCAGATCGAGGGATCATGTTAATGGTCTTGCATGTCTTTACATTTCTTATGATTGCTCCCACATTTGAAATCTTCACACTAACTTGCTTATCTGTGGTAGAATCTCTCTTTCCAGCCTGAAGCACGTCTACAGTTTTCTATTCTTGTTATGCTTTAACAGCTCTTTTGGTCTTTACCATGGTTGGACAGGTGTCTTTTATACAATGAGTTCAAACAGATGCCATTAAGCAGGTAACTGGTGGAAGACAGAAGAGCTTCATAAAGGAGATGTAACATGTCTTAGAGGACCAGGCATCTCAATGAAATATCTTTTTTCCACTTGAATTTAAAATTCTAGTTCTTTAAAAATCCTACAATGTGATTTTGTATGTTTTTTCTCTCTTTTTTTTATTTGGTAACATAGTTGGTTGTAAGATACTGGCACAAACGGAATACATTGAACATCATAAAGAAGTGTCTGTTATAATACAGAAACATCTGTGCACAGTACAAACTGGAGCCCCTCAGGTCAAAATTGGAATCACCTTCCAAGGTGGTGGAGAATGACAGAGCTAATATCCTGTGGGACTTCAAAATAAAGACATTGTGATCATTAATAGGCAGCAGAGGGCTACCGTAGTGATTTACATGGCCATCCCAAATGACAGAAACATCAAGAAACAAAAGAACCTAAGAAATTTGAGAAATCCCAAGGTCTCAGGGAAGATCTAGAAGGAGCCTGGAAGTTGAAGGCAACTGTAGTACCTGTAGTCATCGGAGCACTCAAAGCAGTACCCCCACTCTGGAGAAGTGGCACCAACAGATACCAAGAGAAACATCAAGGCAAGGCAAGTTTATTCATGAACCATAATTCAATACAAAGACAATATGATGTTTTTTTTACATGAATTTAACAATAAAGGACAAGGTAATAAAAGCAGAATAAAACAAGTAGCGATTAAAATATTTTGCATTTAAAAAAACACAAACCATACTGACTTACTCAAACACCAGAATCTACAACACCAAAAAACACCTTAATTCACTAGTTTCTGCAAATGTGTTTATTATTTTGTCATGGGCAATATATATTCCTTTCTCTGTGCACATGTATATACTGTAAATGTTCCTAATTGATTGTGCCTACAGCTTATTCTTTATTAAGAAGGGTCAAAAAAAAAAATTTATATTGATTCCTGGTATTTATCTGTAGTCGCATTGTGTGAGCGAAGATAACATACTTTCTGCAACAAGTTCCATCTTTTTTTTTTTTACCTTAGCCCTCCTGGTCATCTTGGGCTACCTTAGTACCTGTCCTGACAGTGAAATCTTCCTGAGGGGACTTTCCTAGCTTCTCCCACTGGGATGATGGACTGAACAGCTCTGTATGTTCTAACCTGTGTCTATTTATCAATTCTAGGGGTATTTCATTATTTTTTCAAGTGTTGAGCTGGTGAGTCATTTGGGCCTTATCTTTTGAAAAGTTTTTGGTCTGAAAACAATTCAAATCCAAGTACGTTTTGCAGTGGCTGCAAACGTCAAATGTATATAACTTGCCAGAGCTTGAACAACATTATGGACATTCACCTAAATATGAAGCATGGGTAAGGGTACTGGCTTATTCTATAAAATCTCTACCTGCATCCTTTTCTTTTTTCTCATCTGTCTCACTTGGATTACAGCCTGGAAGCACAACTCACACCTTTCCCTCTCTTGGAACATTTTAAATCTAGTTAAAAAACAAGTCTTTGCACAGCATCAAAGTTTGATGCATTGCTTAAGGTTCTGCTCTGTGCCCTCAACAAGCCTCTGAGCTGACAAATGTTTATACATCTGGTCTCCAAGTATTTTGTGAGTTGTAAAGTGTGTTTAAAAATGAAGAATGCTTTATGCAGTTAGTTGACCCTAAAGACATATTGCTTTAAAGGTCATCTAACAGCTCAACAGCAAGTCATCATGTTGTGATTTACCGAAACTCCAAATGAATTTACTGAAAGTCTTATACTTAGCCCATCATCTGGTTTTCCCTATTGGAATCAATCTCCTGATATTTGTCCTCCAAAGGATATTCCCACATTAGCATACGACTATATAATATTTTCTAGAAAAAAAAAAAAAAACTCTTCTACTTATTCAGCAGCGTCACAGTGGGATCGATTCCTATCTCCAGCAGTCTATGGGCGAAAAGCAGGGTACATCCTGGACATTCTATTGCAAGGCAACACAGACACACACACAAACCCATACACATGCCGGTGTTTTCCTGATATATGGGGACATTTCATTGCCTTACATTAATCTTATGAATGGCCTAACCCAGACCTTTATCCTAACCCTAACTATAACCAACATATACCTAACCCTAATGCTAACCTAAAGTGAATTCACAGTTTGGTCCTAAACCATACCCCAACTCAAAGAAGAGAACATTGCCATACAGGGGCCAGTTGAATGTCCCCATATGTACCGGTTAGTCCCCACAATGAAGGATATGTAACAAGACACTCCCCTCACATTGTAGGTACAAGAAGACCACACACACACAAAACGCACAGCTAAAGACAATCTGGAGGTGCCAACTAACCCAACAGTCATGTTTTTGGACTGTAGGAGGAAGCTGAGGTACCCGGGAATAACCCATGCGTGCAGAGGGACAGCATTAAAACTCTCATGCAGAAAGACCATTGGCTAGAAGTTGAACCCAGGACCTACAGGCTGTAAGGCAGCCCTTCATATGTCAATATATATTTATTATTTGTGATATCATCGTGCTATTTTTTTTTTTTTTTCAAATTTGCAGTTTGTCTTTAAGTTGTCATTCATTGAATTCAGAAAGCATTTGTTATCAATCACCTTTATTGTATTAGTTCAGATACTTTTGAAGCAAATATAGTTCAAGAAAGTGGTTACTTGTATGTAAGTGAGTATTAATCATGAGGTAGTGAGGATCTTATGAGAAATTGGTCTATTTCAGGAATAAATCACATTTACTCATTTACTTGTTTATATTATTACCAGTTATACTAATATCAAACATAGAAAACTTGTGTTTTATTTTATCAGCAGAAAATGTAGACTAAACTTTTAAAAAGCACAGTCACCTCACATCAAGGTTCAAAGGTAAAAACAAGAACTTTTTTGGTTAACAAGGATTTTTCCCTGGGAGTCCCCACTCATTTATGTGGACAATCTCTCCTTTGAGGTTTTGTAAGTTGGGAGAAAGGGTAGATATTGGAAACATTTAAACCTTTTTAAAAATCGATTTGAAAAAGGAATATCATAGCAGGACAAATCAGAAGAAACGTTTCCCCCCTCTTTCACCTTTTCCTGCCAGCTGTTAATGCCTCTTTCTTTTTCAGTACCTAAAAAGAAAAGACAAAAAGGTAAGCTGGCAGTGACGATTGTCTTTTATCATTTAATATTTTATAGAAAAAAAAACAATCCATACCTGGAATTGTGTTATCAAGAAGAAACCCAAGAAATCCACCAATGAACATGTGTGTGGTGAGCAGCACAATGATCACCTGGTCAAGCTCTGTTACTCCTTCAGAAATGAATGAAAAAAATAAGTATCTTACAATGTATAAAAACATAATCTAAATATGAAACAAATAAATGTACAATTTAATGTCTAGTTATCTAATTTCATTTCCCATTTCTTCATTTAATATATTAATACATAGTTAAATTTGAAAAGCAATGGAAAAACCATGAAAAGGTCTATCCAGCGTCACTTTAAGTTCAGTCCAGATCTAAACACTGAAGTCTAAGCTTCCAATGATGCAAAACATATAGAAATTTAAAAAATGAACAAGATATGACTCTTTGAATATTGACCATCTTCACCGTCTTTGAAAGAAAACATGTTTTGTTAGGATCATCCAGCTGCAGAGCCAAACATTATAGCTATATGAAGGAGCTCATTATGCCTAAAGCCGACAGAGATTGAACACACTATTTAATGTTTTAAAACCTCTAAAACATTTACAAAAAGACAACATGGAATGGTTACTTCATGACTCCAACTTGCATGTTTGCAATTATATTAATACACATTTTTCTAAGAATTAATTTTCCTGTTTTTGTTCCAATTTTTTCTTTCATTTGGGTTATGCAAATATTTTCCCATTTTACAAAAGTTTTGGGGCATTAAAGTTATGAAGTTCAAGCTCAATAATTACATCTAATTATTTAAACAAAACCCATGTCTAGTTAAATAGTTAATGTCTAGTTCAATCTGAAAAAATCAATCGAAGAGAAAAGATAATTAGGAGAAATGTATTGATTCAATTACTTTGTCTTTGGCACTCAGACCTCAGCATGAAACATAGCACTTAATTTTGATATATATGCATGAACATGAGGAAAGAATAGGGCTGTCTGGCCCCCCAGGCCTGAAACTGGTGGTGGAGTGGAGATGGATGAAGTTGGTCAGTCTGTAGACTGCTGGTTACCAAGACGGTCTGCTGAGCTTTATGGGGAGATCCAGTGGATTGCGTGAGCTGATACTAGAGCTTCACTCAGGGACTTTAAGATGGAAGTCCAGTTTGAATTACACAGGTTGAGAGAACCTGTCCATGATGAGCATGCATGGTGCGACAGTGGAGAGGAAAAACTCCCAGTTGGAAAGGAACCTCTGGCAGAACCAGGCTCAACATGGTGGTCTTCTGCCGGACCGGTTAAGATGAAACATGGAACACATTAAGAGTCCGGGAGGAATGACACTCTTATGAAGCTTTAGCTACGATGGTAGAGGAGGGGCTGGAGGTGGGATGAAGCGATGTCAACTGAATGAAGTCACTAGCACATCCACCACCTGCGTGCAGGAGTAGACACGTGCCTATCGGAGGCTTTTTAAGATGAACTTTGGATGCAGATTGGCTTTTGTGGAGGTGGGGTTTAAAGCTGATTGGCCGTGTCGCAGTTGGATGAAGGAAAGCAATACATTTCTTCAGTTGAACTTCCCCCAAGGCTCCATTTAAAAAATGTAATACACCTTTTAATTAGATTAGGCTTACACTTAGACAGATTTACTTAGTCATTTTGTATACACAAGTGTAAACAAAATTTTGTATACACAAGTGCAGCCCAGATAAGGTAAGCAGCAGTAATAAAAAACACTGTGATGAAAAACAGTAATGTAAATATATGACTATAGTTACAGTTCTAACATTCATTTATTTATTCTATTTATTTATTTTTTGTTATATATGTTATGTTATATTATTAGACAACTAACTATCCACTTTTAATTACAGATATATGGAAAATTATTTTACTCTATTTGGAAACTGCCAACTTTACCTATCAAATTGAGTGAGAGGTGCATTCACAAACCCTGGCGTCTGACTGGCTTACCGACTGCTTCCAAGTTTGTTATGACTCTTATGTAAGTCAATCAGATTTTACTGGAAATCGTAAAAATAACTTGGTGGGTCAGTTTCAGAGTCTAGATGTTTTTCCTCAATTAGGGCATAACATATTGCCCACTTCCATTGTCAGAAAGTGATATTTTAATTGCAAGCTCAGACGGTATTCAAGTCTCATTGTTGGTGGAAAAACAAAAGAAATATGAGCTTAATCTGTTATCTCCTGGATTAAGGGTATCTAGTTATGTTTTCACACAGGATAAGGTTAGTTTGCAAAGACAGTATATACATTCACATCAAACAGCAATTTTAGGCCTAACCTAACATTCATAATTAGAAAATGAGAGAAAGATAAAGAGAGCTCCACAAGTACAAAGTGAGAACAAGTATATTTAATTTAGAAAGATTAAAGGCTGAAAGTAATTGGTGTTATTCATAGAATTTCACAGCCTTAACACCAAAAACCTTTGGTTGTTTAACAACCCTTTTTTCAGTATTTGATGTGCTGTTCCCACCTTTTTACCAAACTTTTTACATAACTTTATGTCTAAAGCCCTTTCAATCTACTACACCTGCCACAAAGTGCTGTAGTAATCAAGGTAAGTCAAAATTGTATAAAACAACATAGAATAAATTAAATGAATTAAAACAAATAAAACACAAATAAAAAAAAATACAATCACAAACACAAAAACAGAGAGAGTCTCCGCTGTGCTGAAAGGCAAAGAATAAAAATAGGCTTTAAAATGAGTTTGAAAACTAGACAGACATGGTTTGCAGGATTATAGCACATGTAGGCGTGTATATTAAAAGGAGATTTAACAAAATGTCATGTTCCATCTATTCATCCATCTTCCTCCGCTTATCCGGGGTCGGGTCGCGGGGGCAGCAGCTTAAGAAGGGAGGCCCAGACTTCCCTCCCCCCAGCCACTTCTTCTAGCCCCTAAGGAGGAACTCCAAGGCGTTCCCTGGCCAGCGGAGAAACATAGTCTCTCCAGCGTGTCCTGGGTCTTCCCCAGGGCCTCCCCCCGGTGGGACGTGCCCGGAACACCTCACCAGGGAGGCGTCCAGGAGGCAACCTAACCAGATGCCCGAGCCACCACAACTGGCTCCTCTCGACGTGGAGGAGCAGCGGCTCTACTCCGAGTCCTTCCCGGATGACCGAGCTTCTCACCCTATCTCTAAGGGAGAGCCCAGCCACCCTACGGAGGGAAACCCATTTCGGCCGCTTGTATCCGCAATCTCGTTCTTTCGGTCATGACCCAGAGTTCATGACCATAGATGAGGGTAGGAACGTAGATCGACCGGTAAATCGAGAGCTTCGCTTTTTGACTCCGCTCTCTCTTCACCATGACGGACCGGTACAGCGCCCGCTTCACGGTAGACGCTGCGCCAATCCGCCTGTCGATCTCCTGCTCCCCCCAGAGCTGGCTCTAAGGACGTGGAATGTGTCATGTTGGTTGATCTTAAACTCATAATAAGCGTTTACATCGTGGGTTGCATCTCTTGCCTCCACCAGTAGTTTTCATTGACCGTCATGCTTTTGATGAATATGTTTTTAACACATTTTTGATCAAATAATTTTCATTTTTGTTGCTGCAACAATTCAACCAACAGGTGGCAATAAATCACAGCTCTTCTGATTTATTCCCCACAGCTTACTGGTCCTTTAATTAAGCTGCTCAGCACTTGATGAGCAAAATATTCATCCCCAAACTAATAAAGTCTCTTTTTACATTTTTGATGCCATTTTTTGTGAATGAACGCCGTTTGCTGGAAGTCTTAGACTTATATGGAGATATTGGGGCAGTTGTCATGCACATTTCCTCACATGTATGGAATTGAATCGAATTGAATGAAGTGGACTAACAATCTATTAATCCCAAAACTGAGCGTTGGATGATTATTGCCAATCTTGCCATGCACTGGAGATCTTTAAAGTGTAAAAATCTGTTTTTTGTCTGATAATTTATTTCTATGCATCAATGCATCAGTTTTCACATCTAAAAATTCAGTTTTCTTTCCTTCCTTCAGTGTGAACCTGCTCTTTCCTTTTCAGATTGGACTGCAAAATACATCTGATAGACTATCAGTTATCTTGGTTTTCTGATGAAAGGGGTATTTATTATTGTTACCCCTCTCTTTCAGAGTTTTATTCATTCCAGCTCAGGAAATAAGCCAATTGACTGGCTAATGTGTGACTATGATTGATATACATTTTTTTTTATTTAATTGCAGACAAAGCTACCCCACTCTACTCTGTATGTGTTTAGCTGAAAATTTTACATTTGAGCAAGCATTGACATAGAAATGCTGGAAATATACTGCATGAGGTTTTATTCTAGTCTTAAACTTTTCAGGTTGCAACGCCTGATGAATGACAAGCAAACACCAATTAATTTATTGCCCAATTTGCACTAGCCCTCTAAAACTGATCCATGCCCAGACCGTGTCGGGCTTGTTTCTAACGACCATTAATACATCACACTAGCATGGTTCCTCACCCCCTATACTACATCCCAGAAGTCGGGAATTACACAAACAAAAATGGCGGGGCCCAGGTTTCACCCAGGTCTTTTAGAGACATTTATTGTTAATAGGCTGAGAAGAAGTTCTTGTTGTGAACAGGTGAAGAGATCTTACTCGACTGTCAGTCAAGCTGATTGATTGTAAATAGGATATGACGCGGTCTGCTCATGCGCTCTTTGCCATCAGAGAAACGAGCCACAACTGAACCATGCTCTACTATTGAACTAATACTAGATTTACCACAGTTCAGTTGTGTCTGGCACAGTGCAGTTCAGTTGTGTTCCATTCACACTCAACAGGTATCTCGGTCACCGTGCTTTAAAAGGGTAGCAAATCAGCATTATTTATTTATTTATTTATTTATTTATTTATTTTTAGCATGATAGTTTTAGTTTCACAAGGCTGCTACAACATTCTACCACAAAGAAGTACATTTAATGAGTAGGAGCTTTTAAATTTTTTTTTTCTTTGTATGGAAATTCTGTGCAATTTAGGATCAGCATGCCAATGCTAGCTAGCTTCCCTTCTGTGATAAGCCCTTGGTTAATAGTTCAGACCAGAATATCTTCTCTTCTCTTTTAAGGTTTCATTGTTTGCCTTGGATTTAGGGAGCGCCATGTTATTTCAAAAATCAATCAAGGATGAT